TTAAATGAAACTCTGTAGATCGACGGTAGGCAATATTTCTAGAGTTGTAAGCACATTCAAAAATAACAATAAAGTTATTATAAACATTAGTGCTAAAACGGTGCGATACCAAGATGCAAGTTGGTATAGCTTCTACGTGACTAATAAGAGAAGGACATCACTTGAATATTGTTCAAATGATGCCATGGTGAGTTAAAATTACTCTTCCGATACAATACAAACAGTTTTTAGTGTCAAACACCTCCACTTTCGGCGTATTTCAGAAGCACTTGTATTATATTTCTTTACACCGCAGCAGCCGCGCAAGCAGAGAAGCCTAAATAACAGGGCATCCAAGCTTAAAGAAAATCTGTTAATCTGATTTTTCAACTACCGAAGGTTAGTAACTGGTAAAAGCTTCCTCATTTGTCCATAATCTCGATATCTTAGGAGGAAGTGAGTGGTCGTATCGGCCAGTTATGGATGTACGATATGTATTTTACTTGCTTTTCATTCAAGCTATATGGTCAGGTATCCAAAACTGCAAACTTGCTTTAAGTGTGCTGATATATTTTATTTATACACACCTCTCTTTGTATAAACGACTAATAATATACAAAAGTTTTTGTTAGATGGATAAGAAATTTATTGCATTCTACTGTGTAAGGGGTTGCAGTGTATTATATGGAATTTGCCTCAAATATTTAAAAGAATTCTTCACCAAAATATGTAGCCTGAGAAAAATTTTCTACGAGAGGTGACTCATGTGAAATTGAATACCCTAATAAATAACATTAGATACTCAAAAAAGTCGGTGACATAGAAATAATTTTGAACGTTCTGGAGAGGTCAAAAGTTCCCAATATATACGCCACCATTGTAGCACAAATATTTTTGTATGTATTGACACTGGAAATGCTAAATGTACAAATTCTAATTCAACATCTTATTACAACCCGAAAACATATTTTTTTGATTTCTAAATTATAACTTCATCATCCTGGATCTTGGTGTTGGCCTATTTGGTACTAAAGTTTATAATGGGTGATTTTTTTGCTAGTATCTTTTTGGCAACACTGTTTTTGACAGATGACGCGTGAATCGTGTCTTGTGTCATTGTCAAACTTGTTCAGTTTGGTCTATAATTTAACCATGAATCGACTTACAAACGAACAACGCTTGCAAATTATTGAATTTTACTATCAAAATTCATGCTCGGTTAAGAGAGTGCATCGAGCACTGCTTCCAATTTATGGACAATTTGGTCGGCCTACTGAGGGAGCTATTCGGAAGCGTGTGACTAAATTTCGAACCCAGTTCACATTATTGGACATTAAACCACCAACACGCAGACGTAGAGTGAGGACTGAAGAAAATATTGCGGCTGTATCCGCCAGTGTTAGTGATGACCGTGAAATGTCGATTCGCCGCCGTTCGCAGCAATTGGGCCTCTGTTACTCCACTACGTGGAAAATTTTGCCACAGGATTTCGGTGTAAAACCGTACAAGATACAGCTGGTACAAGAGTTGAAGCCACACGACGTCCCACAACGTTTCCAATTTGGTGAATGGGCGCTGGCAAAGTTGGAGGAAAATCCACATTTTTATCGAAAAATTGTGTTCAGCGACGAAGCTCATTTCTGGTTGAATGGGTACGTTAACAAGCAAAATTGCCGCATCTGGAGTGAAGTCCAGCCAGGAGCATTGCAAAAGCTACCAATGCATCCCGAAAAAATCACTGTTTGGTGTGGATTACGGGCCGGTGGCATCATCGGGCCGTACTTCTTCAAAGACGACAATGGCCGGAACGTAACTGTGAATGGCGAGCGCTACCGTGCGATGATAAGAAACTTTTTTTTGCCCAAAATGGAAGAGCTGGACTTGGCTGACATGTGGTTTCAACAAGACGGTGCTACATGCCACACCGCACACGAAACAATGGCCCTATTGAGAGGCGAGTTCGGTGAACAGTTTATCTCACGTTTGGGGCCCGTCAATTGACCGCCTAGATCGTGTGATTTAACGCCGTTGGACTATTTCTTGTGGGGCATGTTAAGTCTAATGTCTACAGGGATAAACCAGCAACGATTGACGCACTGGAAGCCAATATTGAAGCATTTATTCGTGAGATACCGGCCGATATGTTGGAGAGAGCGTGCCAAAATTGGACCTTGCGCATGGGCCATCTGAACCGGAGCCGCGGCCAACATTTACATGAAATAATCTTTAAACACTAAATTATATCGAACGTTCTATCGACCCAAATAAAGATTTTATCGTTTTTTCAAATTTTTTGTGTTTTTTTTTTAAATCAATTCCTATACCTCTTAAAAAATCACCCGTTATAAGCTTTTCGTATTACTTTTTAATCGCATTAAATATTGCCACTGTTCTCTGATGCACCCTGTGTTTCTTTATATTTTTTTAATATTTAGTTAATTGTCGTTAATACTTGTTATAATGGAGAGCGCCATTTTGATGGGTAAATTAATCTATTGAAGACTGCAATAATGCAATCGCCTTACAGCGGTCCACTAAGAATGACATCACAAATTTCACCAAGCTTACCTTAACAAATATCTCATTGTCTGTATGCATAAAGTTCACTTAATTTTCAGTTCCTAGTTTTATCATCACCAACATCTGTAATGGAATTTCGAATCCGGCTTCATTGAGACTTAGCTTCCCTTTCCGGATAAATTCATTTTTTTATTTTATTTCTATCTACCTCTCTTCACGCACCGGAGCAACGTCCAGATTGAGAACGAGATTACGTACGGTCCATTGACAGAAAATTGCTTCAGGGCGTTGAATATATAAATTTTTTAATTGTACTTGCTTAAGTGGAAAAAATATAAATTCGGTTTCCGCTTCGTCAACACCTATAAAGTATTCCATTATGCTAGCCGAATATGTTTTCGTAATGAAATATTTTTAAGTACTCTCGCCCGCCGAAGCAGATTTTGCCGAGGGAGCCCCACCTCCCTCTAAATTGAGGAAAAATTGGAAGTTTTGGTTGATCGATTCGTAAGGGGAGAAGGATGAATGCTGAAGCATGCATGGCAAGTTAGTTGTCAGTCATACGCATTGAAAGGGGAGTATGCTTGGTGCCCTTTTCCATTATTCTGGAATTTGTTGCTGATGTGTGGAAATATCGGGAAATGCTTCGGCAAAACCGAGTTGTTGTGGATCCGGCGCTTCTAACGTCAAAGGGTATTTCCAAAGGTGTATTGAAAATAGGGCCTTTCCTTTTCAAAAACAGCTATGCTTAAAATAAAAAAATAGCCTCAAGTAGGTTGACTCTGCATTTTCCACGCAACGCGTTCAAGAAGGATAATGTTCAGCATAAACTACGTTGTCTCTTCTCGATACTGAACTCGGGCAGACGTGACAGCTTGGTCAGAGCACAGGAAACACTATGCTGTGGCGCGGCAGAAATACGTGTAATACCACCAAGGACGGCGGTGCGCCACCGGGAGTAGCATCCGCGGCCGGTAGGTACGCGATCCGTCTGCTGAGAATATTTTTTTAGTTTTAAGGGAGAAATCTATGTTGTGTGAAACATTCACTAAGTGCATAGAATTGTCAATTTTGGGAGCGTATAAATGTACTAACATCAGAAAACTGAGATAGACCCTTCCGCCGCTCATAACCCCCGCCTTCAAATTTTTATCTCTATTTTTTTCCAAAAATGATCAAGATTTCTATTATTTTTCGTTATTAGCCTTTTTCTCTGCAGCCACTGAATTACAATTCTTCCCCGCCAGTAGGCGTGAGAAGTAAAAACTAATGTACATAGGACAGTAGCGATAGACTAAAAAAAAATTGAACACAGCCTCCAACATTCATTTAAGGCAACATTTCAAATACCGGTCTGACAGACGATGCTTATAAACACAGTCAACTTCCTAGGACTTGTTGAAGGAGTTTTTTCCACGAAGTTTACAATGCAGCATTTTGGGTTACCGACTTTGATGAAGACAATGTGTCCCTAGCCTTAGTGTGAGGTAAATAAATCAAATCTACTCGACATACGAAATATGATCTGACACGAAGCGATTTTCTATTTGCATCGATCTCACTGTTGGTTTGTAACATTGTGACATCATATCGGTGCGTAGGCGATTAAATTATGACTAAGAAACAAAAAAAAACAGGTCGCTCACTGACCTCAACGGAGGGTGGAAAATAAAATTTTTCATTAACTAAAAGCTCTGCTTCTCATTCTTAATCGGTCTTATGGCAACTGCAAGGCGTAGTTATGAACTGTCCTATAAGGTACATACATGCTGATTTTATTTGAATCGCTTCATTTTTAATAGATACAGGGTGTTTCAAATTCAATCCTCACCATTGGGATCTCGGAAACTGTAAGAGATATGGAGTCGCTTAAATAGGGGCAAAGTTGCGGTTTTAGATAAACAATAAAATACCGCTTAAAAAGTTTCCGGAAAGAGAAAACATTTTAACCCTCCATCAGTCTCGGTGTTAGAAAAAATCTAACAAAATATAATTCACTACAGAGTTCTTATTAAAAATTAGTACTGTAGCCTTGAGACTCCTGGAATGCCTCATTGGTGTCGCTAGGCAACATCTATGCATAATTCGCGTGCAAATAAAGTAAATAGTCATCTTGAATTTGATAATTTTAGTATATATCTAACGCGCGACCGATCACGTTGTTCAAAAGTGTTAGCAAGAATCTTACGGTGCGACCTATCCCGTATGTGATTTTTTCGATAATCTTGGTAAGTTGAACTGTCACGTAACTAATACAAAAGGATAATTTTAAATATTGCTAAGGGCTCAAAGCTCATTTTTTTTGCTTTGTCAAACTTTTTGATTTTACTGGTAATAAAGAATGATTATGATTTTGATATGTCTGTCATGTTTTCTCGTTTTTTATGAATTCCTTGACATAATTTTTATCATATTCTTGGTTAGATTTTATTTTGTCTTGTAAATAAATATACGGCAGGTCAAATTTCGTCAATAATTAGACTTATTATTGGTCTTTCCAGATATGATTTCACCAAGAACAGAAGCCAAATGGCAGCAATGGTACGAAGAAGTTGAATCAGATGTAGGGTCTGAGTTAGACATAAATGACGCTGCCTCTGAACACAGTTTGCATGCTACTAATACGGAGCAATCCTCGGACTCTGATGACGAGGATATTTGTTTACCTTTATCTCTACCTGCTTTGAAGAAAATACCACATTTCACTGGAAAGGATGGCACACCATGGAAAAACTGTACCAAGACGCGCATTCATTACATCTTTGGCAAAAGAGCTTATAAGACCACACGTGATGAAACGAGCTCCCCTTACAAATATTTCTTTTCCTCTTGGACAAAAAATTCGATCGATTACTGGCATTCAAAGAAAAATACACCCCCACAGAATCCAGAGCAGAAACCAAGGTGCGGATATAGCCAAAAATAGATTTACACAACATAAGTGTGACCGCTGTCAAACACCTATCAACTATTTTTATTTGTAAAGAATGTAATGATGTTGGAGAAGAGAATTAGATTCTTATTTCCTCTGTTTATCATAACACATAAAAGTTAATTCTATAGTTAGATTCTTATTTTCTCTGTTTTTAATAATATATATATATATATATATACGTATATATATATATATATATAATACCATTTAAAAAATATTGCTTTTATTCCAAAAATATAGAAAATTAACTTTTTAGAAAAAATCTAATTGCGCGCCTTATGTTAGATAACGTCTATACACGCGACCGACGTTGTTTGAGGCCGCGCGACCCCTGGAGGGTTAATAGTTATGCCATCCTGTATAGGAGAAAAAGTGAGGATGTTCATGTACAATTTATTTTGAAATCCCACTACAAATTAAGTCCGGAAAAAAATTAAAACGATTTTAGGAAAATTCGGTTTTTTCGTCTCTCTCCTAGAAACTACTAAGCGGCATTTTGTTCATTATCTAAGTACGCAACTTTGCCCCAAGTCAAGCAAGTTCGTATCTCTTACAGTTTCCGAGATCCCAATGGTGAGGGACGAATCTGAAACTCCCTGTAGAGATCAGTAAGTGTACAACGCATAGTTTAAAACTCTTTGACTGCAATACTTCACTTTTGTGCAGTAACTTTTCGGCAATACCCCAAAATAACGATTATTCTCCGCCACTGCGTGATAGGGTCGCTAAGGGTATGGTTCTGATGTGCTGCCGGAACTTTGAGAATGTGCCTCGTCTCGCGTCACTAACAAACGTCTTGCTAACTCTTCCCCTTTGGCGGTGCCGGAATGTCTTGTATATGTGCCCTGGGAATGTGTTGATGACATATTTGTCTCATCTCAGCATGCCGACTCCTGCGGACCAACGCATATGAGGGAAACTTCACGAACAGGGCAGTTCGATGAAATGTAGACGTTAAGGAGATTGGCGGCTTTGACCTGACATTTCTAACATTATTAAAGACTGATCTGTAAGTAGATTGCGGCCCACCTCAGGTGAGTGTGTGTCCTCCAAGGCTTATCGACGTTCTCCAAACCAACTGATGAGCCACGAGTTTCCTATGACTTGTTATTCCGATAACCTGGCATCTGTACCTTGATGCGATTATACGAGTAAATGATGCTAAATAAAAGTACATACGGGTATACAGTTAGTAGTGGATCATTGGAAGTCGGGTGATAGAGGGCCTCAAAATCGAATGAGCCCCAATATGTGTGATCCGAAATTTTATAGCTCAGGAGATATTTGCAATTTTGTGAAATTTCGGAAAAAACTTGATAATGGACTTTCAATCTCAATTACAACTAAACCATTAGGTTTAGGGCTGTGATTTTTTACTGAGATGAGCTAATTGGTTAGTTAGAGCAATGGTTATGTCACCTTTTAACAGAGCTAATTAGATATCAATGCAAAAAGTCTTAAATTCTTTTTTTTGTGAAAACTCTCTTTCATCCCCCAACTTTTCGGGGCGGTAAAAAAACTAAGGTTGTATTTTATTATTCATTTTATTTTAATAGCTATTTCAATCCACGTAGAATAAACCCTGAAAATTTCAGCTTGCTACGAGAAGTGCCTCACCTTAAAAAATCTGTACATTTGACGCATGTGGGTGTTTACATATTCATGTCAAGACGAGATTCTATTTTACGAGCTACAGTCGAAACTACTGGATGGATATTGACATATGTGTATTAACATTTTGTAAAATAAAAATGGCGGATTTTTTACGCAAATAGCCAAATCAGCTTATGAGCTTGGGCATTCTACTCGGCATTCAAGGTGCGGGAGCGTTCAATCTTCGGTCAGACCGAAATTACCAAGTCAGGCAATCGTCCAGCGTAGAATTTGTATCTAACGTTTGGCATCTGAGCAGAATCATGTCATATTCTCCGCGAGATTATACAGAAATGCATTGCTAGTATGGTGCTGGCCTAGGAAATGCTCGAGCAGCTGCTCGCATGTATCGGGAGTATGTGGTTAGAAGAGGTGGACCACAACCGGCGGTATATCATCGACGTGTCCATAATGCGTATACATATGAAGGGCCACATACTAGGCACTCATCGTCAGCTAGAAGCGCCGAGAATACGTCCAGAAGAAATACGAGCCCCTTCCCACTTCAGTTGGCCTACTTCCAGATTTCTACCAAAATATGCCTTTATAAACTAAACATGACGAAACTATTTACTTCTAAAACAATTTATTTTCTCAAAAACATTTTAGATACACTCTAGTCGTAAAAAATGCATATTGGAAATCACTTACACCTGTGACTAATAGAACATTTGAACAAATAAACAATGTGCGAATAAATGCGTTAACAAAGCAACAATTGAAAGATTACCATTGGGTAATATCACCTTTGTTTTTTATTACGACTGAAATTCTTTGGGGCATAGTGTTAACCAAGTTTTGGCAAAAATTTGGTGTAAAACAATCCCATATTTCTTGAAGCTTTTGTCTCAGTTCGGTGATTGAACGAGCAGGATGTTGCCGTAGGACCTTTTTCATCTCATGCCACAAAGTTTCAATAGGTGACAGATCGGGACTGCTAGAAACCCATTTCAAAAGTGGTACATTATTTTCTTCCATCCATTTTATAGCCTTTTTCGAGGTATGGCACGCTGCACATTCTTGCTGGAACACAAAATCTTGGCCGGATGTCAAACATTCTTCCATCACTGGTAAAAGCGATTCTTCTGAAATTGCCAAATATTTGTTTGTATCTGCATTTCCATCAATAAAATGAAGTTCTCTACTCCTTTTGATGACATACTGCCCCATACCATAATGGATGCTGGAAATTTCACTTTTCTCTTCAGACAGTCAACATAGAATGCTTCTTTTTTTTGCGAATAACTCCACTTCGACTGTCACCAACACAAACTTCGAATCGGGCCTCATCACTCCATTGTATTGCACACCATTGTTGAGGTGTCCATTGCCTATGTTCTTTAGTCCATCGAAGCCGATTTTTCCTTTGTAGTGGAGTTAATAGTGGCTTTTATTTGGCCAACTTACCTTGCAAGTGCTAAATCCCAGTTTGTGGGCTTCTATATGAGTTATCGACCTCAAAATTCTCCTTCCAACAGCGTCACTCCACAGAGCACTTAATTGTATCACGATTATTCTTCTTAATGCTCTTCGATCGGCACTTGTGATATTACTTTTTTTTTCACATATCGTGGCTTAATATTAACTGAACCAGTTACGTTATATCTTCTAACAATATTTCTCACACTGTACCGCGATAAGTCTAACAAAGTTTGCAATTTCTGAGTTTGATTTCCCAGAATTAAAAAAATTAATTATCAGTAACCGAATTTTCTCACTAATAACCTTTCCTCTACCCATTTTGAAAACCTTAACTACCCAGAACTATTTTAAACGTATTCTGACAGCTGTGATTAATAAAAAAAATTGTCATGGCTTTTAATTTTCACGGCCACCTATGCGTTATAGACTTATTTTGCATTGAAATGGAAATAGGTTGATATGCTGTAATTGCAAGTTGTGTTATTTTTATGCTGCAAATTTGATTAGGGAGTGATAAAGTTGGTGTTTTCTACTATATATTATCAAAATATTCATTGTTAATGTTTTAAACCTATAACACCCTGCTACATTTTTATTAGTGTTTGATAAGAAAAAAGATTTCAATAGTTGGGCCAACTGAAGTGGGAAGGGGCTCGCAGAAGATATAATAGATGCAGCCGAGAGACATCCCTCTATAAGCACCAGAGCCATTGCCTGAAGCAGAAACATATCCCGTACTCACAATACTATGCTCGGAGAACATGCATCCTTACCATGTACAAAAAGTACAAGAATTGCTTCCATGCACAACGGGTTGAATTTTGTGAGAATATGTTGAGAAGGTACGAAGAGGATGAAACTTTTTTCAAAAGCACCTTAGGGACAGATGAATCCAAGTTTAACCGCAATGGTATATTCAACATGCACAATTTCCATTCATGGAGCGTGGAAAATACACACGCTATTCGCAGACCCAGCTTTCAACGTCAGTTCGGCGTTCATTTATGGGCTGGAGTACTCAACAAAAAATTAATTGAACCATATGAATTGCCCGCCAGGTTGAATGGTCCGTCATATCTTGCTTTTCTACAAAGCAGTTTGCATGAACTGCTTAAAAGATGTACCTTTCGACGTTCGAAGCCGCATGTATTTTCTATGTGATGGTGCCCCATGCCACTTTGCACGGGATGTACGGCATTACTCAGACAGTGCTTTTCCTGGGCGTTGGATAGGTAGAGATTGTCACATACAATGGCCTCTAAGGTCACCCGATTTAAATCCCCTAGTTTTTTTATATGGGGGTTTTATAAGGGGATAATCTATAAATCTGAAAATACAACTAACTGTCAGTTGAAAATTGATAAAGCAACGTGCCAAAATCACGTAACCTTTTTTTACTATATCGATCACTTATTAGTAATTAGTATTTCTCTTTATTAATGGTAGAGTGCCCATTCCCAGGCCAAATCCTTATCACTGATTTTCTTTTGGTAAATTTGATAGTTTATTGATTGTATAACTGTACACGTATTACATCTTTCTTTCTTTGTGATTTTTCTCCGTTATTTGGTTGCCTAGCGAACATATATTCTTCAATGCCACTCATTGAACCTTGTTTTATAAAGTTTGTCAGCCACTTTCCTCCTGAGATTGTGGTATGGGCACCGTTTGTTTAACTTCCAGATTCTGGGATAATAGGTGCCAATCACCAGTATTACCCCGTTATTTTGTACCTTACGTTAAGTTGTTTTGGTTCGGGTGCTACCCCGTCCATTTTCTTACGGGATTTTAACCTTCAGCGGTACGTTTCTTTATACCATCGGGCCAAGTGCATGAATTCATGTCCTGAAAAAGTTTGTTCAATATCTGATTTCTTTTAGTGGGAAGGCATTGC